TCAGGCGCACGTATGTCTGCCATGTAAATCCACTCCATTAGCCAAAGTGTTAGGCTTAACAAACGACGTCACAAATGGCTTCGGAATAGGCTTTTAACAAGATTATTCGAGGTCATTCAAAGTGGCATTTTTACACTTATATCGGTCTAATTGACTAGTTACGTTAGACGATATTTTCTGTTTACTGCGCCACCGTCCTAACCTTTCAACAATAAGATTTACGCGATTCAAATGAGTGTTGTTAGGAAAAAAAAAACAGTGACAAAAGACCTTCCACAAATAACTGCCTTCAGTCCGCCATTAGATCTAGGGATACATCGCATAAAACAGCTGTTGACCACTTTTCCTAAAATCACGAAGCTAAACCAGAGGAGCTTGACACACTAATATGAAAGACCTTAAATAACAGCTACTTGCTTATAGAATTTTGATTTTCTGTGTAACTATAGCCATATGCCGTTGCCCGATAGTCAACAAACTCAACAAGCGAGGAAGGCCACAATTATTTTATTCCTTGGTTTACGGATTTTATTTCTTAAAAACCTCTGACAGGCGGTCGCAAAATAAAAATAAATATAACTGTTTTGACTTTTTTTTAAAGTTAATTGATTTCTGAAAACATGTGGTAGGCGATAAACATAAGAAATAAATGAAAACCCGACAAAAGTACATCACGTCTGGAATCAATATTGTTCATGTGGCCACAGACAGGAATGATCTCCCTTGACAGAACAGGAGACATATTGTGCTTGAGACAAACGGCAGATGCCATCGATTCTTTAGGTATAAATTATTTGAAAAACAGAACATCGGAATCAAATGTATAGAATCAGGTGCGGCGGGAAAAAAAATGTAGATTTCTGTTATTTTAATTTCGAAAATCGGGGAAAATATGTGCAGCGGATCCTTAAACAAGAAATAAAATAATTGTCGCATAAGCTAACAGTATTATCGTATTTAGTTTCAATTAGAACTGAAGACTGCAAATCAAATTATCCCCATCTCCCCTGCTGCGAATCTCATGACATATTGATCGTTTTACTCCAGTCTGAAACTACATCACCAACCTGCTCTCCCTTCACCATTCCTCCACCACACCACCAACCTGTCATCCCTCCACCATTGCTCCACCAACCTGCCATCCATCCACCATTCCTCCACCACTCCAACCTGCCTTCCCTCCAGCACTCCCATCATCACCATCCCTCCACCCCCATCATCATGCCATCCCTCCACCACCCCATCATCATGCCATCCCTCCACCACCCCATCATCATGCCACCCCTCCACCACACCACCAAAATACCATCCCTTCATCACACTAAGGCTGGGTTTAAGTGAGTGCAGCCCGTAGCTTCCTACCTTCGGGGAACACTCAATTGACGCCACCCATAAAATGAAAAGGGAACGCTTTCATTTCACAGCTTGATATATACGAGTTTTAAGTAACTGTACAATAGAAAACGCATCAACTACTGCATTTTTTTTTTTTTTTTTTTTTTTTTTGAGATTGAAACTTTCTTACTCCATTTCTATTATATATAGCATGTAATAGCTACCTTTGGGAATAGATGGATTCTATTTTAGAGTACAATATTGTGACGGGAGCTTTATCGAATGAAAAATTTGAAAAATGAAAAAAATTACCTGTTTCATAGAAAACTGTAGGCATCCAAATTTAGGGGACACCTATGTAATTTTCCTATTTATGCCAAAATGTTTTCAACGAATACCATCCAACAAAATTATCGCTACGTTTTTGCTCCGATCATTGGAAAAAAAAGAAAAGAAAAATTATACATAAGTATACATGTAGGTGTATGTATACATAATGTTTATGTATGTGTATATATATATATATATATATATATATATATATATACATATGTATGTAGATATATGTGTATATATGTATACGTATATATATGTATGTATATATACATATATATACACATACACACACACACACACACACACACACCACACACACACACACACACACACACACATACACACACACACACACACACACACATATGTATATATATATATATATATATATATATATATATATATATATATGTATATATATATGTATGTATATTATATATATATATATATATATATATATATATATATATATATATATATATATATATATATATGTGTGTGTGTGTGTGTATGTGCACATGACACATAAACATATATATATATATATATATTATATATTATATATATATATATATATATGTGTGTGTGTGTGTGTGTGTGTGTGTGTGTGTGTGTGTGTGTGTGTGTGTGTGTGTGTGTATACATACATACTGCATATGTGTATATATATATATATATATATATATATATATACATAAATGTATATATACATACATAAATACATACATATATATTATATTTACATATGCACACACACGCACACACGTGTATGTATATATGTATGTGTGTGTATATGTCTACACACACACACACACACACACACACACACACACACACACACACACACACACACACACACACACACACACACACACAACATATATATATATATATATATATATATATATATATATATATATATATATATATATATATGGGTAATTTCTAGTTTAAATAATTTAGTTTTATTTACGGCTCTGGAAATTCTACACCAAAACTCAGTTGACATGATTTACATATTACTTAATTTATGCTGTGCACATTATTAAACTGTTCTGTAACTTTCACTTTTATGCTTAAGAACTAAACAAATAAGATTCCATTAAATTTATTAGGTAATTTCAAAACCGAAGTCACTGCCAGCGGAATGAAACAAATTTTAATCGATCAACAAGAATAAGCACCGTTATAACGCGTCGCTTACCAAATACCAGGCTTCGATACCAAACAATCCAACTTTCCTGCAGATTACATTCATATAATCTCTTCCCAATACTGTGTGCTCATCAAACTAATACATCTCGTCGCATAAGGGATGGTCCGGCAACGCATTCGGAAGGTGCGTGT